AAGAAATAAAATCAAATACATAAAAGGTGATTGTTTCTCATGGAAGTTAAAACGTTTATATGTAAATCTGTAAATAGTTTTCTGCCCCTTAACTCTTCCTTACTTTCAGTCTCTCTTCTGTATCTATCGTGTACGAAACACACACCTTTAATAAATACATCACTAGAGTCACTAACGTTTCCTGATTGGTATTTATTCCTCCCTAATGTTTAAAGAATGCAGAACACTCGGGTAATCACACCTGCACAGGTGATCGTAATTCTCCTAAAAGGTGCGCCTGGTTTTGCCCAGAAGGAGGACTTCAGAGTATCACAGGTGATGTTTGAGAGGAGACCCCGGATGAAAACACATCAGATCTGAGTTTGTACATCAGAGCCTTGGCCTGAAGAGGGCGCTGCAGCTTCACGAGAACATCCCGTGAGAGGAGCTGTCCCTCCTGATTTATGTGTGCGTGCGTTGCGTAGCAACAGCAGCATCACCCAGCTGCTGGTGTAATAAAGGTGCAGAAACTCAGTACTACATTACGTACTTTTCTGCTGATTTCAATAATTAGCAGATGCTTTAATCTAAAACAGGGCCACCATCCACCGGCCTCTTCTAGAAATTGCACAACTCGGTGACCGGAGTGAAAGAGTTCATTTTTCTGTAGTTTTTAAATATTTGCATAGATAAAAAATTGAAGAGGTCAATAATTTTAAAAGGCATTAAATATGAGCCTTTTGCTCCTGCTGGTATCAAATATGTATCATAAAGTTAGTTAACCTGATTTATTCCAGTTAAAGCCGCTCAGACTCAAAAGGTGGGGACTCCTGGTCTAAAACGACTCCGGGGTTTTCACTGAGGCACTAACAGCAACTACACCAGAGGAGTTCAGGACAAGGTCAACAAGGCAGAAACATGAATAAATTGCATTTCTCCACAGTAAACATCTATTTGTCCAGGAATTTCAGGCTCCATGAAGTTTGATCCCTGTGAAACTGGAACTTTTCCCCCTGTGTAATAATCCCATTCCTTCTCCTACGCCTAGCCATTCCGATGTACAGGAGATCTGATGAAGAGTTCCAGGTTTTATTTTCTGTTCTCACTTTTAGAAAAATGCACTGAAGTGGGTTTCACAGGTGGAACTGAAAAGCTCCTAATCCTGTATAGAACTCCTGATCCAGTCCTGGACTCCAGATCCTGTCCAGAACTCCTGATCCTGTCCAGAACTCCTGATCCAGTCCTGGACTCCTGATCCTGTCCAGAACTCCTGATCCAGTCCTGGACTCCTGATCCAGTCCTGGACTCCTGATCCAGTCCTGGACTCCAGATCCTGTCCAGAACTCCTGATCCTGTCCAGAACTCCTGATCCAGTCCTGGACTCCTGATCCTGTCCAGAACTCCTGATCCAGTCCTGGACTCCTGATCCAGTTCTGGACTCCTGATCCTGTCCAGAACTCCTGATCCAGTCCTGGACTCCTGATCCAGTCCTGGACTCCTGATCCTGTCATGAACTCCTGATCCAGTCCTGGACTCCTGATCCTGTCATGAACTCCTGATCCAGTCCTGGACTCCTGATCCAGTCCTGGACTCCTGATCCTGTCCAGAACTCCTGATCCTGTCCAGAACTCCTGATCCTGTCCAGAACTCCTGATCCAGTCCTGGACTCCTGATCCAGTCCTGGACTCCTGATCCAGTTCTGGACTCCTGATCCTGTCCAGAACTCCTGATCCAGTCCTGGACTCCTGATCCAGTCCTGGACTCCTGATCCTGTCATGAACTCCTGACCCAGTCCTGGACTCCTGATCCTGTCCAGAACTCCTGATCCAGTCCTGGACTCCTGATCCTGTCCAGAACTCCTGATCCAGTCCTGGACTCCTGATCCTGTCCAGAACTCCTGATCCAGTCCTGGACTCCTGATCCAGTTCTGGACTCCTGATCCTGTCCAGAACTCCTGATCCAGTCCTGGACTCCTGATCCAGTTCTGGACTCCTGATCCTGTCCAGAACTCCTGATCCAGTCCTGGACTCCTGATCCAGTTCTGGACTCCTGATCCTGTCCAGAACTCCTGATCCAGTCCTGGACTCCTGATCCTGTCCAGAACTCCTGATCCAGTCCTGGACTCCTGATCCAGTTCTGGACTCCTGATCCAGTCCAGAACTCCTGATCCAGTCCTGGACTCCTGATCCTGTCCAGAACTCCTGATCCAGTCCAGAACTCCTGATCCAGTCCAAGACTCCTGATCCAGTCCTGGACTCCTGATCCAGTCCAGAGCTCTTGATCCAGAACTACATCTGGCTAAGGCACTGGTCTGTAAAACTATTTTGCGTTTTGGTTTTGTTGTAAGTTAACACAAATAAATAAATACACATTTTCCACCCCTGTCCTGATGGGAGACAGCTCTTAAGAACTGGGCCCCACAGCTAGCAGAAACATTCAGTTTTAACTTTCACATGTCCACACGTGTCCACACATGTCCACACGTGTCCACAGAGCTCCGTGTCTGTGGAAGGGGTCTATGACTATACCTGTCAAACGGTCACTGAATGATTACAGACCCAGTTAGGAAGACTTCCCTGGACACAGGTCAGACATGTCTCTACTCTTTACTGCAGGTTGAAGAGCAGAGTCGATGACAACACTTTTTATTGTAGTTTTTAAACATTTAGAGACTCCAAAGACACTGGACAGATGACTTTTTATGGACTTCTCTGCTTTTACATGTGTCCAGCCACGTGTACAAAACGAAGGTTTATTAAAATCAGTCCTGGTGTTCTGACTTGTCGCATGGATTCTTAGCTGAGAGGCACGAGTCAGGGTAAACGGTGTTTATTCTGAACCTGTCCTCATCAACTGGAGCTCCACAGAGCTGTGTCCTCTCACCACTTTTTTATCGCTTTTTTTAGCGGTTACTGGGCACTACATCATCACGTTCACAGACGACTCAGTCATCGTGTCTCTCATGAGTAACTGAAGTACGGCGCAGGGCCTGCTAGTTCACGACTTATGAAAGCATCGTTGTTTAACACAAATGAAAATAAAACTAGGGGAATGTTTCTAGATTTTAGGAAAGATGCTTCTCCAACTCCCGCAGCAGTGATCAACAACCAGACAGTCGAGATGGTGACACAATATAAATATTTCTCCTTGATGATAAACTGAGCCAGGTTATTAAATCTGATCCCGAGCATCCACCGTGGGCTGAGTTACCCGGCGATAGGATGTGGGGGAGGAGCAATCTTTTGTTGCCACCAGACTATTGACTTCAGGCTTAAAAGGGCTCCTTGGTTTTGGTCTGTCGGGTTGAATCTTGTTTCTTTGTGAACTGCTGACTGTAGAACAGATTACCCAACAGCCTCCTCCCTCTCCGGTCGGCTCACGGGAAGAACAAAAAAATGAACGCAAGTCAACGAGGCTAAAAACGCCATTTTCTAACCTGCTTTGCCTCACGCCCTGGATCACACACATGCTGTACTGCAGCTCACATGAAAACTGATGATGGGTGTTTCGACCACGCCTGTCACGTACTTTGAGAGTTATCAACGTGTAAAAGTCGTAATTAGCACGACTACAACGGCACGTCGCATGTGTGACATCACCACAAAATCTCCTCTCCCCTGGCGTAGCTGCTGCTTACCTCATGGCCACATTTATTAAGGATTAAAGATGGAAAGTTTTCTGAACCTACGGCCATTTTCCCTCCGTTTTCTCCGTGTCTGGTTCGGTGACGTCACTTTAGTGATGCACATTTGAAGTCCTGCACTTATTTTCACACAAAACCTAAAACGTTTCTCCCCGTTCCAAAATAAGTGTGTTCCTGGTGTCATAAAGCTTCTTTAAAATTCACGGACATCATATGTGGACATCATGGTACATGACAAGTGGAATAAGAAAATAGCGTTTTTAGCCCCGCTGACTTGCATTCAGCGTTTCGTTCTTCCGAGGACCCGCGGTCCAGAAGTGGGTGGGCGTGGCTTAGGCTCCCCATAGGGACAGTAAAGTTCAACTGAACTGAAAAATAAAATCTACCAAAGCTGACAACCACTAGGGGGCACTGCTGAACAGCTCACAGGAATCAGAACTAACTAACTAACTGAACGACTCACTGACTAACTAACTAACTAACTAACTGACTAACTAACTAACTGACTGACTGATCCAGCTGGTCTTTGCTATCAGAACTGGTTACCACTCTGCCTGAAGGCAGAAGTTTGTAGACACATCTGATTTTTCCTGGTCTTTGAACGCATCACCGCTTAGCACTAACTCACAGGAGCAACGAGAGATGTTTTCATCTCCAGAATCAACTATTTATCATGAAAATAAAAACAGTCGTTGTCAGACCCAACAGTCAGAACCGTTACTGCAATGGCGCTCTCAAGGGGTGGCCAGGGGTGGCCATGGCCACCCCTAGAAAATTACTGGCCACCCCAGGAAAAGCCAGTGTTAATAAATCATATTAATGTTCACTCAAACCATAAATTGATCTTATGTATTCAAGATATAATTGTAAAACAAAATAAAAATAATACAATTAATGAGTAACAAGATAATCAGAATAAATAAAATGCATGCTTCTGCTGCTCACCACTTAAAAAGTTTTAACTGCAGTTTTTTGTGAACACAGCAGCAGGAGAATTAAACTAAAAAAACACATTCAAATAACAACAGAAAATTATTTTTCTGAAATGTTTGTTTGTAAAATTTAAGTAAAATGTTTTGGATCCACACAGTTTATCTATTTATTTTTGCGGTAAAAACGAATAAAGGAGCTGTGCAATACATCACCACAGGCTAAACTGAAAGGACCAATTTGGTGTCCCACCCCAAAAATGTCTTTGGCTCCGTCTTTTAGTTCGTTTTAAAACACAGTTTAAACGGAGAAGGAAGTGACGCCACCATCAGCGTCAGCCTGACGACGTTTGCAGCCGCAAACGAAACGCTGCAGGTAAACAGAACCTTTCTGTGTTTTAAAAAGAACTAAAAGATGGAATTAGAGTTTCAACACAGCAAGAACTCACCAAAGATGTCTTTGGCCCCGTCTGGCCACAAATTCTCTGGAGGCGCCCCTGCGGTACTGGTATCAGTCATCGTGCCACAGGATCAGTGCATCTTCTCAGAGTTATCTGAAACTAACCCAGCTGGTTCTGGTGGTGCTGCCAGGCATGTGGGCCTCCTGAACAAACACGACGTATCACATATATGTGATAAGCTACATGTGATTTTATTCAAATGAATTAAATTAAAATGTTTTTGCCCCCGTGAGTCATGGGCCCTCCTACATCCCCCATCACTGCTGCCCTGCTGGGTTCTGAACCACCAGAACCCAACCTGGGTCCTGACCACAACGTTCAGCTCACCTGTCTCATGTGAAGCTGGGAGCGGCCGCGCCGCGCGTGCAGTGAGCCCTCACCTCAGCGCGTGAAAAACGGGGCTTGCGACGTAACGTCGCGATACTTCCGCTCCCAGCTCTTTCTCTCCCCGGTCTAGGGGCGATCGAGCGGCGGGGATGACGGGAACCCGTCCGGTCAGCCGAACCAGCCCACCGACGCACAGACACGGAGCCGAGCAGGTCGCTCCAACAGAACTTGACTTTGTTCTGAAGACTGGTTCCAGATCCGCTCAAACGGAACCACGCAGGACTTTTACCTGAAATCTGACTCAAACAACAGAACCGGTCCAGAAGTTCGGTTCTGTCCGCTTAAAAATTGTTTTAAATTTTAATTTTATTTTTTCTGGGAGGAGCGCAGAGAGATGCGCAGCGGGAGGATGTCGGAACCGGAGCGGACGCAGTAAAGCCGTCCTGTGCGCACGTTTTGACGCTCCAGATCCGCTCCGGTTCGGCCCGGTTCTCCTGGAGGAGACTCGTTTGAACTGTTTGGATTGTTAACTCCTCACCATCGGACCCCTGGGATCCGGCTCTGCGCGCGCGGGCAGCTCCTGGCTCATGGATCCGCCACTTTGCGCCTCCGGTCCGGTTCGGTTCTGAGTGGGACGGAGAGTTTCAAACCCGCAGTTTTTAGGGCAGGAGTTTCACATGTAAGTTCTGTCTGACCCTTAATGTGATTGATTGTGATGAACTTTGACCTTTACACGGTTCCGCGGAGGAATCAGCTGTTTTATTGTTTGTTTGTTTGTTTGTTTGTTTGTTTATTTGTTTGTTTGCGTCATGAACGTGTTCGGCGTCTCAGACAGACTGACGCTGCAGGAAAGTAAAATAATCAGGATTTCAGGTGAAGTTCTGACCTAAACCTCCCTGTTCTGGTTCTGGTTCATCTCAGCCTCGCTGTCCTCTGGAGACCGTTTCCTATGCGACGAGCCGAGCTGAACCGAACCGAACCGGTCCGTGCCACACACTTTCCATTAATTAAGCGCTTTGTTTGTGTGAGGGACTCACCTGGGGCTGCTGCTCACCTGCTGGCCTGTTTATGCCTTCTGGACCGTTTTTTCTGCTGATTCCGGTCTTTGCTTCCAGAACTTTTGGGTCCATTCAGCTAATGTTTGATCTTACTTTAGAATTATTTCTTATCTGGATTAAATCGGCTTTTATTTTGGAGGAGTTGATGATATTTGCACCTGCAGGCCGGGTCTGGCGGAAGGAAAGCAAGTGTTTGAATGGAGTAATAAATGATTGCTTCAGCAGTTGTCGGCTTGAATTAAAGTTTTACCTCAAAAGGTTTGATGATGTCATGAAGCAGGCTTGGCGTGTCTGACCTTTGACCTTCTGGATGTTTGCTGCAGCTCAGCAGCCATGTTTGTACGTTAAACCTCAGCAATCACAGGGTTTTATGATATTTTAGCTAACAGGGCCAGCATTCATGTTTATTTATGTCTAAATCAGTTAAAGAAGCAAAATAATGTTTTATGTGGAAATCAAAACTAAATTCTTAAAACAAACACATTTCCTGTAAAAGCACCGCGATGATTTCTGTTCACATCGTCTCTGAGCTGCTGAGACGTTCACGTTCAGCTGATGCAGCTAAACACGAACCGCCAGGGTTTCCTGGACCCAGCGTCATCCCAGGTTCCAGGTACCGCTGACCCGCTGTGGTTGCAGCTGTCACCTGTGGGCGTGGCAGTCCGGACTCACCTGCAGGTGTGGCAGAATTTAAACAAATGTTCAGAGAAAAGAGGCGAGTGGTTTTTCTGTGTTCCTTGTCATGGTCCGACTCTGCAGCTGCTGCTCCTAACCCTCGACAGGTGTGTGTGTGTGTGTGTGTGTGTGTGTGTGTGTGTGTGCGCGCGCGCTAACAACAAAGCCCAGCGTGTTTCCACCTGAGATTGCGTAGGTGTTCGTGTCTTTGTTGGTTTGTTCTGTCTGACCTTTAGCAGATCACAGATCAGCCTCCTTCTCTTTCTCTTCCTACCTGAACGGCTCACCTGAGCGTCAGACTCGGCGTTTGTTTTCATCCTCGTCATAAATGGGACCACAGTCACCAAACGTTCCAGGAAAGCTCCCAGGTGTATGCAGCCCTCACTTCCCTGTAATGTTGGCGGTTCGGAGGCAGAAACGGTTCTGAGTAACAAGTTCATGAAACGTTTGGGGCTCAGGAGACAATGATCAGGGGACCCGGGCCCGAGACCGGGACAGAAGGCACAGAGACAGGGACACATGGAGACAGGAAGACAGCGTCCTGCTTCTCCCAGGTGAACATTCAGGATTCCGCGTTTCCCAGTGGAGATGACGCGCTGAAAACCTTTTACTTCCTGTTTGGGAAAGAGCTTCTGCCAGAACGTCCCCACGTTGGCACTTGGCTCTGCCCACTGGGTCATGTGACCTCTCACTGACAACGTTCCATCCTACTGAAACAAAAACTTTATTAGACCTGAAGACATGAAACAGGTGCTGGTCCTGCATCTGGAGACCGGGTCGGGTCTGGAGGAGCCCGGATAAACAGGACTCACCTGAACATTACCTGGATCAGCTGACAACATCTGGGAGTCTGCCAGCTGGAGCTCTGGCTGTGGAGGAGTGTCGGGAGTGAACACACAACCCGGTGAACATGAAGAACACATGGTGTGTGTGTGTGTGTGTGTGTGGGAGGGGGGGTTATTTTAGGCTGCATGAGCCTCATGTTGGATTTTAGGACAGAGGTCAAAGTTCAGAGCTAGGCGGAGTTCAGACAAACAGCTTCAGGAGATGAAACACAAGGACCAACTTTTAGAAGAGTCATCCAGGCGGAACGTTCCGGAGCCGAACTTCCTTTGCTAATGTGACGGAATAATCCTCCAGAGCAGCGAGAGCAGAGTTGCTGCAGTCGGGGAAAGTCGGGCTGTGAATGCTTTTGTTAAAGCGTCACTCTTCAAAGCTTTCTGTCAGAAAAGCAGCGATATTCTTTAATAGCAGGTCCAGAGGCCGCAGCTCCATGAGTCATGAGAAGTGAAATACCAAAGAGCAGCATGTGTCAGCTCTAATAGCGCTCCCACTGTCAACATTTCTCTTAAGTGACTCTTCCAGGCAACAGAAGGCGGCTTACGCCGGAACAAAAGATTCTGCCAGAACCGAGCCGGCAAAGTGTGCTCAGCTAAACTTATGATGAGAGGAGAACCGCAGACGAGGCTCACGGTGTGATGTTCTAGTCCACGTTCCGGGATCCAACTCGGTACGGATTTGCTCTTGTTTGTGGATTTTAGTCTCAAGTATGTCTCAGGTGTGGATCTGATCTCAGGTGTGGATCTGATCTCAGGTGTGGGATCTGATCTCAGGTGTGGGATCTGATCTCAGGTGTGGGATCTGATCTCAGGTGAGGATCTGATCTCAGGTGCGGGATATGATCTCAGGTGTGGATCTGATCTCAGGTGCGGATCTGATCTCAGGTGCGGATCTGATCTCAGGTGTGGGATCTGATCTCAGGTGTGGATCTGATCTCAGGTGTGGGATCTGATCTCAGGTGCGGATCTGATCTCAGGAGTGGATCTGATCTCAGGTGTGGGATCTGATCTCAGGTGTGGGATCTGATCTCAGGTGTGGATCTGATCTCAGTTGTGGGATCTGATCTCAGGTGTGGATCTGATCTCAGGTGTGGGATCTGATCTCAGGTGTGGGATCTGATCTCAGGTGCGGGATCTGATCTCAGGTGTGGATCTGATCTCAGGTGTGGATCTGATCTCAGGTGCGGATCTGATCTCAGGAGTGGGATCTGATCTCAGGAGTGGGATCTGATCTCAGGTGTGGGATCTGATCTCAGGTGTGGGATCTGATCTCAGGTGAGGATCTGATCTCAGGTGTGGGATCTGATCTCAGGAGTGGATCTGATCTCAGGTGTGGGATCTGATCTCAGGTGTGGGATCTGATCTCAGGTGAGGATCTGATCTCAGGTGTGGGATCTGATCTCAGGTGTGGGATCTGATCTCAGGTGTGGTATCTGATCTCAGGTGAGGATCTGATCTCAGGTGAGGATCTGATCTCAGGTGCGGATCCGATCTCAGGTGCGAATCTGATCTCAGGTGCGGATCCGATCTCGTGTGTGGATCTGAGCTCAGGTGTGGGATCTGATCTCAGGTGTGGGATCTGATCTCAGGTGAGGATCTGATCTCAGGTGTGGGATCTGATCTCAGGTGAGGATCTGATCTCAGGTGTGGGATCTGATCTCAGGTGAGGATCTGATCTCAGGTGCGAATCTGATCTCAGGTGCGGATCTGATCTCAGGTGCGGATCTGATCTCAGGTGAGGATCTGATCTCAGGTGAGGATCTGATCTCAGGTGCGGATCTGATCTCAGGTGCGGATCTGATCTCAGGTGCGGATCCGATCTCAGGTGTGGGATCTGATCTCAGGTGTGGGATCTGATCTCAGGTGCGGGATCTGATCTCAGGTGTGGGATCTGATCTCAGGTGTGGGATCTGATCTCAGGTGTGGGATCTGATCTCAGGTGTGGGATCTGATCTCAGGTGTGGGATCTGATCTCAGGTGAGGATCTGATCTCAGGTGAGGATCTGATCTCAGGTGTGGGATCAGGGTTCTGAGTACATCCCCTTCAGTGATGGTTATGGCACAACACTAGCTGGTGCTCTCTCTCTGGTTTAATGCCGGTCTGCTGTGACGCCGCTGCTGTGACGCCGCTGCTGTGACGCCGCTGCCGTGACGCCGCTGCTGTGACGCCGCTGCCGTGACGCCGCTGCTGTGAAGCGTTGTGATGCTAATGTTTCGGCTGTGTGAAAAAACAGCGACTCGCTCTAAACGTTTGTAATTCGAGTATTTCCTGTTGCAGCAGTGACAGAGCTGCATTTGATTCCATCGGGAGAATGTGAAGTTCAATACATCGTCTCAGGTGATAGGAATATGTCCCGTAACCAGAGGGTTGCCAGTTGAAACCCTGGCTCCAGTTGTGTCTGTTCTTGTGTCCTTGGGCCTGACCCTTCACCTTCCGTGCCTGCTGGTTGTGGTTGGAGCAACTGGTGGCGCCTGTGCTCGCTAGCCCCGCCTCTGTCAGTGTGTCCCAGGTCAGCTGTGGCTACCATGTAGCTCATCAGTGACAACTCGTCCATGGGGGCGCTGGGGCGTCGCCCCACCAGTCTCACAGCAAGAGGAAGAAGAAGATGGGAAACACAAAATATAAAAACACATGAAAATGATCTAGACTATAACCGCTGTGTGTAATCCTCACTAAAGCGTCGTTTGTTTACATATCTTACCACGGCCGAATCGTCTTGTGATGTATTTCCTGTTCCTTTCCCAATCTCTACCATAGACTTATGCTAACTAGAGCTGGATCCCCCCTCCAGTATAGAGAATAGGAGAGCCTTTGGGCGAAGAGGTCCTGCGCCCGCGGACATGTGCAGAAGACCGGCAGGGCAGAGTCTCAGCTCAGGACAGAACCGGAAGTTCTCCACAGGTCCTGTCCTGTGCTGCTGTAGAGCAGCTGGTGGAGTTCTGTTGTTGAGGAGAACCAGGAAATGATGAAACGAGGCGTCCGAGACTTGTAAACACTGTCCAGCTGGCAACGCCAGCCCCGTGTGAGTACAGAACCCAGCGTTCTTTACTATAACACAGATTATCAGGACCATAACCAGCAAAGCCTTTGACTTCATGGAATGAGC